CCCCCCCCCCCCCCCCCCCCCCCCCCCCCCCCCCCCCCCCAGGCCCCGGCTGGGTGCTCTCCTCCACCGGGTGGTGGGGGTCGGCCTCCTCTATCTGCTCTTCTCCTGCATTGAGGGCGTCCTGAGGGTCAACACGGTCAGTCTGATATTCAAACCTTTTTAGGGTTTTTATTCCAACGAGGAGGACATTTAATGCTATATATATGTGTATATAGATCACTTTATTTATTATTTATTTTATTTATTTATTATTTATTTCTAAGATAATAAATATATTATAAGATATACACAAATACATACATAATGTGTCATATAAAATATTATAAAAATTGAATATGATATATTTATCTATATTTTTTCTTACAATATTCAATAATTACAGTTCTTTATTCCCCCTAAAATGTGTGATATTTACTGTTTTCTTTCCCTGAAATGTGCATTATTTAAAAACTTCTCCCCCTAAAATGTGCATTATTTACATTTTTTTTTACCCGATATTGTGCATTATTTACCCATTTTTCCCTACAATATCTAATATTTCCCTTTTTTTTTACCCTATAATGTGCATTATTCACATTTTTTTCCTTAAAATGTGCATTTTTTAAAACTTTTCCCCCCTAAAATGTGCAATATTTACCTTTTTTTCACTCTATATTGTGCTTTTTTACCGTTTTTATACAGTGGGCTTTAATCTGGTGCGTGTAGGGATGCTGGAGGTGTGTTTTTAGGGTTTATCTGACTGATCTGGAGCTTCTCAGACGCTTTTAGCTGCTTTTCTCTGGTCTGAAGCCTTTTTCTCTGCAGGATCACGGAGATAACACCAGCAGCAGCCTGCTGTGCGACATCGTTCTGGCCTTCACCGACTCCTGCATCGTCTGGTGGATATCCTTTAACCCAGGAAAGCAGTTTTAGGAAAGATTTGGCATTTTGCTCTGATTTCTAATCGCCAGTCCTTATGTTTCTCTGGAATTCGGAGGAAATCCTGCTGAAAATAAGCTAAAAAATAAGATAAATCCACCTAAACCAGCAACT